AGCTACCTTTGCAGTGAGCTCTTCACTTCCATTTAACAACTGAATAAACAGCAAACAGGCCGATTAAAGAGCTGCTGTGTCATTGACACAATTAAAGATTCATTTACAGAGGATTGTAAAGACGCTTTTATGACACTGAATCTGTGGATGGGAAACATCACACTGTCACATCTGTCAACACGTTACGTCTGAAGCCGGCAGAGCTCAGAGTGAACGTTATCATCCAGTCTAATCTTTCATGTTTCATTTACTAAAGTTTGAGCTCACAGCGCTGCCGTGTCATGTCTCTGCATCCTCGACATCCACAACCCGTGCACGGCCACCAAAACAGTCACACTGTGTTTATCACAAGTCTGGCCCCTATTTTGGGCCAATCAAAACTCTTACATGACGGTGACTCATCTCATCCATCTGTCGTGGAATAACTGGCTTCTCTCAGAGTGCAGTAAACATGTCTGTCGTGCAGCGCGGCTTATTAGTCAGCTGGCGAGCACCCATTCAAAGCCCGAGCCAGTTAAATAAGAGTTTGGGTCATTACAGGGTCCTCGGAAAACTGTTGTTCCCTGTAATGTTCCCAAAAAGTCTGAGAACAGCTGAATTAGTCTGCTGTTACAGTAAAGGGACAGAGCAGTGCGATTCACAGCTTTGTTCATTCTAAGAACTGCAAGAAGAATCAAATTTCCTCTGTTTTCTTTCCAAGCTGAATTTCTACAACACAAGAGAAAAACATTTCCGCTCATTTCCAGCTCCATGCTGTTAAACTTAGAGTAGCTTTGCATGATTTCCAGCTCAAACACACCCCGACTCGTTTCACACAGGGCCTCGGTGATGGAGGCGGAGCCTGATATCATACAGATCAGACACTGCTATCCATACTTTTCCTTCATGTCGTGGCACAGCGCTGGAGGAAGGACAGAAGCCAGCCTGTGCTATAACTTCATTAAGGCTGGAGTGGAAGCAGCAGGAATTTAAAAGCCTGGATAAATAGATTCAGCCGGCGTGGCTTGGTGCCACTACAGAGGGAGAGAAGAGTGTTTTTGCAATTTTAGCAAAGCGCACCTTTACCTCCTCACGTGATGGTAGTTACAACATTCCATGTGAAATGATGCGTCTACTATCAAACATGCTTTCAAATTAGTGAAATCTGAAAGCTTCTCAAACCTTCAGAAACTCTTCGAGGAATCGTTGGGTTGGTTCAGCGAGGAGTGAAAATCCATCAGCTTCTTTCACACAGTTATCCAGCAAGTTATGAACAGGAGAACATGATGCAATTAACTGACAGCTGTATTGAATTTGGCAGTTGGATTGATTCACGTCTCCCTGTGTCCTCTCTAAAGTCCAGTTTGGTAAAACAAAAACATCAATGCAGCCCGTTTGTGGTTGAATTGCGCCCATGCTTTTACTCCTTTCTCATGTCTCCAGTCCTCAAGATCTAATGGTTTTCCCAGCTTTTGCTCCCCTTGGAGCTCCGCCTTATTACATTTTGTCACATATAATGTCATCAGCCGGCGTGATCCTCGACAGCTCGTCCATTTGTTCACCTCCTGCAGCCACGGCCAAACTCTGCGCTCGGCACTGACAGCGCTGTTTTGTGAGGGAGTCCCCGCTGACCCGAGCCGGATCAGAGGTTCACTCGGAGCTCTCATCGCTCGACCTGATGCTTGTTCATATCAGCTGCAGGGCAGCTTCGCAGCAGAGCACGGCATCCGTTAAATCTGTCCAAAGACCGGGGCTTTTACACCCCCTGACTGTCTTCACTATTCACAGCAAAAAGCAGAAGAAAAAAACGGAAACACCGGCACATGGCTGGTGGGATTTTGTACTCGTGGCTCTATTTCTTTCAGTTTTTTCCTTTTGTGGAAAACTGGAGGACCAGCCCCAACGTTACCGTTCAGGTACTTCGAGCCCCGACGATGGAGTCTGATCAGATTTATTCATCTGATTTATTCTGTTATTCGAATTCTCACATTCATTCCACTATTCAGCCAACTGCAGCAACGCGATCAGCAGAAATGACAACAATGAGCCGAACGCTGCAACATTACAGGGAGAGCAAACAAAATCATAATGAAAACATCAGAGTGCAGCGTCTTCACAAAGTGTCCGGCTGTTACGTGCGCCGTGTTTGCTTTGTGGCGCCGAGCTTTGCTGTGATATGGAAGCTATTAAAAGGAAGAGGCGGCGACAGCTCGTGCTCACTGACAACATTATAAATGATCCACTAATAGTTTTTCACGTCGTCCAGTTGCACGTGGTGCGCTAACTAATGCAAGCCTTTCACTCGGAGTCACAACCGTGACAGCCATGCTAAGGTTGGGGTGGTTCCTGTCACATGGACGGTTTAGTGTTGAGGAAGTGCAGCCAGCACGTGTTGCAGCCTGTGACAGCTCCACGCTCTGCAGGACTTTCTGTACTGAACCCTAACCCTTCCTCCACGATGGGAGGTGTTCCAAACCCAAAGCTGTTGGGACAAATGACTTGCAAATATCATAAAATCATATTTTATATAAAACGGAGAAAACATATTAAATCCTTAAAGTGAGAAAATTTACCGTAATTAGCTGAAAAATGTTCGTCCAGCTGTTTCTTTTTAGCACTACTTCATTTCTGCCCCCATTACATTTATTTGTTTTAGATTTTACTGCTTTCATCAAATTCAGCTAATATTTTGTATGAAATTGTAAAATGTCTGAGTTTTCTATGTGGTGTTATAAGATCTGACGTTCATGAGATTTGGTAAGCATGGTTGTTATTTACATTTTACAAAGCGTCCCATCTTTTCTGAAGATGCAAAAGTCTGTTAAATCCATTCTTTAGTGGATCGTCTACACCAGGGTCAGCAACCTTTAGCACCCAAAGAGCCGTTTGGACCCAGTTTCCATGGAAAAGAAAACACTGGGAGCTGCAAATACTTTTTGCATCTAAAATGAAGAAAACACTGTTATTGCTTTTTTCCTTTATGCTTTGTATAAACACCTAAAGTGTGTTGCTTATCAAATCCATGAAGCGCTACAGAGAAAATTTTATTTTATTTATGTAATGAACACATTTTGAACTCTTAAAATTAAAAAGTTTAACTTCAATTATTCATAGACCAAACAAAAGCTGTAGTGAGCCGTCATCCTTATATCACCTTTGGGATTTCGCAGCCTGTAGCGCAGCCTTGACCTGAATTTTAAAAAATAATTGGAAAAAATCACTCAACTGCTAACAAAATGAAAAATAAATATTTGCAAAAATCTGAATAAATATTTATTTCACCTGGTTAATGTGTCTGTCGGGGCGTGGTCTGCAGCGCTGCTGACCACCCTGAACCTACCAAGCCAACCAATCACCATCTCTGAGGTCTGTGAAGTTTCTGTATGAGCTAATACTGCAGGTAGTTTTGAAACAGGTATTTGAGAAAGCACGCCTGCAGCTGCGTTACGCTGTGCAGCTGCGTTACGCTGTGTAGCTGCGTTACGCTGTGCAGCTGCGTTACGCTGTGCAGCTGCGTTACGCTGTGCAGCTGCGTTACGCTGTGCAGCTGCACGTTTGCCTTTTGGTCTCATTCTTCACTGAGTCGCCGGTTCGTTAATAAAGGATTCAGATCCTGGCCTGCAGTTACTGATGCACTTACTCTAAATCACTCTGGATAAGAGTATCCGAGAAGCTAAATGTCTGCATCTGTCTATATCCTTATATTGTAATTGCCACCATCCTCTATTGATTACGCTCAAAAATCCATTGAGCCTAATGTGATTTCATTAAGATACAGTTCAACCGAGCCATTCCAAACAAATCCGGCGGGCAGCAGAGTCGATCTAAAAAAGTTTTTGTTCCAGCATTCTGACGCAGACACATCGAAAATCGTTTAAGTAGTCGGGAGTTATTCCTAATGGTTTTCCAATTCTATGTCGACATGCGTCCCATGTGAGTAACAGGAGGTAAATGTTAAACAAAAGCAGAGAGGCTATAGCTGAAAGCAACTTTTGGAAACAGAGTTTTGAACTGAAATCCATTTTTGTTCAGATGAACAAGGTTATTTGTGTTCTTGAAATAAAATGATACCGCCGGCTATAAAGAGATCACACTCTCAAATGCTGCAGCTTGATGCTGTTTGCATTATGAAGCCCAAAAATAGATGGAGTAGCTGTGACTGCCCGAGGGAGCAATCCAGGCACGTATCACACAGTGTAAAAGAGCAGGTTACTCATCAAGGAGCCGTGGCCCCACGCTACGATACTTGGTCTGAGGTAGGGCATTAAAGGATCCTCACCGCTGAAACCCAAAGGAGAAACAGGCACCCAGCAGAGTTCAAATACCAACAGCCTCATCTCAGCAGCAGCAAGAAATACAGTCAGACATCTAGAAATAAGACTACCAACAGATTCCAAGAATATAATGCAATGTTTTTGGGGGAAATTCCACTGATGTTTTAGCATTAAGGAGGAAAAATCAGCACATGAAGCTGCAAATCCTACAGCATCGAATCCATCACTGAGGGAAAAGTGCAAATCTTCACACTGGAAGACTAAACAAGGCTTGCAGAAAGCTGAGAAAGCGAGCCAATCAAAGCTGCCACTGACGCTGGAAGTGGAGAAGTTTGATGTTCTCCACGAGGCTGCAGCTGTTCATATAACCAGCAGCGTTACCACATTTGACAGATTTCAGCAGGATCAGGATCAGTTTGATCCCAAACGAGACCACAGCTTCCAACAGTTCCATTCATGCCCCTAAACCTGGGGTGTCCAACTCCAGGCCTCGAGGGCCGGTGTCCTGCAGGTTTTAGATCTCACCCTGGGTCAGCACACCTGAATCACATGATTAGTTCATCACCAGGCCTCTGGAGAACTTCAGGACATTTGAATCAGCTGTGTTGGATCAAGGACACATCTACAACCTGTAGGACGCCGACCCTCGAGGCCTGGACTTCCCCACCCCTGCTGTAAGCTTTCTGTGTGGCTCAATCAAAGACCATTAACAGGAACTTAAAACGAGATAATCATCCGCTCACTCACCGTACTCGATGTCATAAAACACGATGAACTTCTGCCAGCGCAGCTCCTCCACCAGCGTCAGCATGACGTCGTTGAGGCGTACGGGCGGCCGGGCGGCCAGCGTGTAGCGCTGCCCACCGGGGCTCGGGTTGAACTGGCAGGCAGTGCGAGGAGATCCTTCGCTGTTCCTCTGGATGTACAGGTGTGGGATGTGCATGGCGTCCGTCAGGGACTGCAGGGCGCTCGCTGAGGCGCAGCCAGTAGAGGTCACCAACGCCAGGATGCCCTGGTTCATCAGCTCACAGGCTGGAAGGGGGGAAGGAAAATGGAAAAGTGAGTTTTGGTAGGCAAATTATAAATTATGAACTTGTATATTTATAAACTGCAACATAACCAGAAACATTATTTGAAAATCTGGAGCAACCACAAAGGCTGCAAAGAGTCCTGCAGAAGCCCAGCTCTAATTTTAAAAAATGCCTCCACCTGTTGTTGCTTTCCGCACTGAAAATTAGGCCACATAAATCTAGAAGAAAGCCTGACAGGTAACACTAATGTTTACCCTGCCCTGACCTACTTTGAACTCTTAAACCTGCTTTCTGCTTTTCAGGCAGGAGAGTCGGTACGGATGATTAAACAGGTCACATATCCACTCTGCTAAGGCTCAGTTAAAGGTTAAAATGTGGCTGGCCTCACTGGCTTTACTGGCAGATTCATCGGAATCATGTGAGGACCACCCGCTCAGCTGTCCAACCATCAACCAACTGCCAATAAACCCGAGCATACTGCACACACTACAATATCCCGCACATAAGAATACACTAAACGACACATTGAGAAGAAAATACAGGCTCTCATAAACCATCCTGTGAAGACACGAGCCAATCAGATCAGCACCTAGAGCCAACCCCCTCGCCTCGTCCTCCCAACCTCCAAGTACGAGCAGAAGCACTGCAGACCTCGCCATCCACAAATAATGAACAACAACACAACAACGCAAATACATTCTGACGAGCCAGGACCCACACAGCCTTTAACCTATAACTATATATACAGATGCTGCATGTGTCCTGATCTTTATCTCACTCTGACGTCGATCCTATTAAATAATCAGGCCACGGATGGATATCAGACACTTCTAAGGTGATGGCTGTTTTTGTTTCGATGAATTCATTTATGTTAATAAACTTTTAGGAAAAATGTGTTTTTTGAGTTCTTTTAAAATCCATCCATTCTCTTCTGCTTATCGCCTATCCCAGCGGTGATAGGACGAGAAGCGGAGTACACCTGGACAGGTCTTCAGTCTGTCGCTGGGCTCACACAGACAGACACACTCAAACATTAACCCCACTACCTGCATGTGTCTGGACTGTGGGAGGAAGCTGGAGTAACCCACGCCAGCCAACGCTCTGGTCAGATGGTGGATTTGAACCTTCGTCAAGTTTCAGGACCACGGACAGCACGCAGGGGTTTCAGCGTGATCCATGAGCTCTATCACATGACTGTTTCTACTGTTGGACCTGATTCAGCTGCAGGCACTTTGACAGTACATGAAATATAGATCACAGATACGTGCACAACACTCCTCCGTGAAATCTGCACATCCAGTTTTCACTAAACGCCCCCAGAAGGCCGAGGGCTACACTAAAACTAAAACTCAAATCAAATAACAAGTGCATTGCAAAGATCTCTCCATGTCCTGTCGTATGATTTATTATTCGATATTGTTTCTTGACACTTTTCTTCAAGGTCTGCTTTGACATTGGGCTAACAATGAAGGTCAAAGTCCATTAAAACCAAAATGAAAATGATATCTTGAGAACTGTGGACGTCAGGCTCCCTGTGAAAGATGTGACGCTACAGTAAAGAGCATAGAAACAAAGGTTTGTCAGTCCGGTTGGTTTTATCTCTTTAAGTCAGTTGTCTTGATACAAGTCTACAGTCGTACACCAGAGCCTGTTTCCATCCTACAGACTCTTACTGCCAGACAACAGTAAGTATGTATGATGCATGTATGACATACGTTTATATTCTTTTCTGCTTGCGACGAACCGGCTGCTCCCGTCCTGTTTGTAAATGACTCACAGCTGTCATGTCGTATTGAAATGAAGTTCCAGCACAAGTGTAGCAGCAGCCTCGCCCCCGGGGCTGCATGAACCTTTGACCTCTGGCTTATCACCGGGTTTGTGCAGTTGTACCACTCTCTTCATCATTTCCCTACAAACCCCGACAGAACAGGCCTCCCTATCAATCCTTCCCTTTCAGACTTCTCCCTGCATCCTCCCGTTACACATTAAGCTCTCCAAACTACATGAGTTGCCATGTTTTCTGAACACAACATAAAATCTACTCTCTGATGCAGCAGCCACCCCCTCCAGGGACTGTGTCTTCACTAAATCTGCTGCCATCATCCGGTGCTTCCACGCTTTCTGCTGCCCTCTCCCTGCTGAAAAATGTTTGGGATCAGGACCCGTGAGGAATGAAATCCAATCGAGCGTCTGCCAGATAAACGTCCCGAGGGTTTTCATGCTAGCGCTCTGCTATGTCTCCAGGTTTGTTGAAATCTCTCAAAAAAGACTAATTTTACTCCCTAAGAAGACCTGACGCTTCATCTGAGCACAAGGACCATGTGCACCCTTCATTTATCCCCCCACTAAGACTTTGGGGAGATTAATGCAAAAGTCTCCAACTCTTCACTTCATCCACGAACACTGTCATATAATAGCTGCGTTTTTGTTGTGAAATTTCAACCTTTTTTGTCTCTTTGCTGCTGACGTGACCCGTAAAATCTGCACTGCTTCCAGTCCAGCCTCCAAACACCCGTGTAGCTCTCGCTCTGTAAGTGAAACTGTCTCATCTGAGCTCTGCTTCCTACTGAGACAGTTGCTCTCTGTATTTTTCCATCCTCAGACAGCGACACTATCGTCTCCTACCTCACCTCTCTACATTTAAAATCACCTGTTAAAAAGATGTGGAGCTCAAAAATGCTCCTTTTCCACAGTGCTGAGGCAGCACAGAGGACCCAGCTAATGGTTCCCTCTGAGCTCTTCCCCTGTTTGAACGAGGTACATCAAACCCTGTTCGGACCACAGAAGTCAGAGCAGGAGGCCAAACTGCAGACGGCACGGTTTAAGTTTCCTGAAAGCCCTGATTTCTTCAGCTTCGCATGAACTAATTTAATGTTTGCACGATGTCACAGTTAATCATCCATAACTTCATCTGTACGGCGAGTTACAAAATGAATTTCAAACTTTGACGTTTGAATAAAAGCCACACATGAAGAAAAGCAGACATGTTTGAACATACAGCACACACGTCCACACTCACAGTTTCAAACTAAGGCCCATAACAAAGGGTAAGAGCTAACCTGTAAAGATCTGTTGTTTAAAACAAATCCCAGAATCTGTGGAGGAGGAGACCCGGTTAGAGGATCGGAGGGCAGCATTTCAGACGGGGTGCAGTGAGAAGCTGCACTCAGGCCCAGTGTAAAGTGCAGAAGAGTTATTTTGAGCCGTGAATCATGCAAAGCTACTTCAGGACAGTCAGCAGTGAGCAGCACAGGTGCCCTGTAAGTGTTGGGATTTGTTAAACAGAGCACTAAATCATACTTAGGAGAGCATGTTGCATGAAAACAAACACTGGGGTTAAGAGAGACCGTAAATTTTGCTGGTTTGAAGGTTCATTAAAATGCGTCTCCACTTAGCATTTATATTCAGGGCAGAAATATGCCTCACCCAGAGCACACTGACTGCTGATGGCAGCTTACAGCGTTTTTTAGGAGACAGGATGTGGGAGGGGTTTAAAATGGACATCCTGTTGCAAATCAAAGCAAGAAGTCAGGATAGATAAAAGTCCATGTGGATTATTTTTGAACATATTAAGACTGCAGCGCTTTGAGAACAAGATTTTCTTTCCTATAGATGCTGCAAAGTAAAACTATGTGCTTCCTGGAGGATCTTCAGTTATTCTGACTGCTTAAAGGCGCCAGCTCCTATCAGACGATTTATTTTCACACATACTTTCTTTGAAATGTCATCTGAAGCTACACGGAGATGTTTTCCTTCCCGCCTTCTCCTCCGACACTTAGACAGTCGTAGTTTAAACCTCTCGGAAAGCCTTGGTCTCCGGTTAGAGCCCAACTTTCTCTGCAGGAGAAGATCTGTCCAGACTGAAAGGTCAGGAGATGCTCCAAAGGGCAGCAGGCATGTTATGACTGAGCACTCACCGGGGGAAATGTGAAAAATGCTGCTGGGGTAGAAGAGCGTAAAGCACAGCCAGGTAGTCCTCCACAGAGGAAGAAAAAGGAAATGGCGTAGCAGAACAGCTGGGTGGTCACAGGGACCCTGCTTCTTAATGTTTGACGAATGAAATTTGGCTGAACTCGGGCTGAATGTCTCCGAGCTGCGAACAAACGGAGGACGGGGGAGAGATCATCAACATTCAGCCAATTTCTGCATGAAATTCATCTTTATTAACAGAACAGCGTTCAAGTCTTGCTTCGTCAGCATCCGACAGCTCGGAGAAGTGATGACGGGGCAGTAACGGCACCAACAAAATGGAAATAGTTTCCGAGATAATGAGACAAATGTCGCCGCCGTGAAAATGGAGCTAATGAACTTGCACTGAAGGATTTAGAGTGTAATCTTGTATTAAATTAGTAAATGTTTTTTTGCCAGATGAGATTGGAATTGAGCTCATAGGTCAATTTAATAAAAATAAATCAGGGCGTCCAGCACAGCGCTGAGGTCAGGTGGTCCTTAGAACTTAAGGAGCTGCTAATCCACCTGCAGTAACGTCATCGCCGCTTTCACCCGAACGCTTCGGCTCTCTCGTCAGCTTTCTGGGCAATAGCGCAGTTCAGCTTCAGTGACTTTATTGTTGTTGGTATTTTCAGATTCATAGACACAGTGTGGTGCTGTGGAGTGCTAAACCAGGGGCCCGTTCTTATTTTTCATCAGATTTCAACACTGATTATCTGCCTGAGCGCTCTCCATCATCCCACGTGAACATATGCAGTTGTGTAGAGGTTGGAGATGTTTTGTGCAGCTGAGGGGGAATCAGCAGTGCCAAACATGTGATGTAGTCTCTTGTAAAACATCAGTTAGCACAGCTTTAAATTTATACGCAAAAAAACAAATCCCCTGCCTCCTATCAAAATAAAAGCTCCCTTAAGCTGAGGTTCTGATCTGCGATTAAACAAAGATCCACAACAGCTGACGCGTCTCTTGTTGACGTCTCTCCACATGACAAGAACAATCACATGTTTAATGAGCCTCGGAGCATCGGGGAGTCCAATCTGCAGTCGGTCC